TGTTCTGAGGAATCAGCTTTGGCAGAGGGAAGCTCCGTATGATAATGTCCAACTGCAGTATGTTTTATTTATAATATCTTGAGGCACAAGAAAAGCTGAAATTATCAGGAGATCTTGCATCAGAGGGAGGAAATATAGATGTGCAGGATATGAAAGTATAAACAGGGAGTTGTGTTGCTGTCATTAAAATAGGCTTATTTTCATCTTGTCTTTTGATTATTTTTCATTTTAGCCAGGTCATTGTGTACTGGGAAGGCAAAAGTTGTGCAAAGAGGATCTGATCAATCATTAAGAAATCATTCACATTATGCAAAAAATCCACATGTATTATTCCAGTAATTTATAATCTTACTGTTACTGTTTAATGGTTTTTCTGAAGAGAAATCTGGGCAGCAGAATGAAAAGTACGATGACAAAAATTGACACTGCAGTTTTACTGGGCTTTCAGATAACACAGTTCATTTTAGTTGGTGTCTGTGCTCACAAAATAAAATCATCTTTAATCTAGGTAAAATGAGATAAAATCACAAATAGGTACCATCTTATTCCTACTGTCCTAAAGAATGTGAGGGGTCTGAATCATGTAGCAATTCTGGGAATTAATGCTCTCTTGTTCTGCTGCTTCTTCTACACTTTGCCTTGGTTCAGCCTCAGACACTTTTTTCTTTGCAGTGTGGTAATGGAGCTTATTTGACCCTGTGGTTCTGAAAATAGGCAAACAGTTTAATATATTATTGCATTCTAATATTTACAGCAATAAAAAATTACCAATTTGACACATTCTCTGTCTAGAATATAAAAAATAGACTGCTGTGTTACGTTCGCTCAAAGCTAACAAAAAAGCTAACTTTGTCAGCAATTTAAGAACAGTTCCTTGGTGACAAACAAACCATTACTTTCTGTGATGTAGTTCTCACTGGAAGAATATATTTACAAGCTTATCAGCACACTGTTTCTCCAGGCAGACGAATTAAATTGATTATTTTTAATTTTTTTTCCTCCACAAAGATTGATACAAACTGCGATTACTCACAGCTTTCAAATACTAATGGATATTCCCGCCTTTGGAGACAGAAACTAAAGCACTGGGAGATACAAGTTAGAAAATCAAATCAAGAAGAAGAAACAAGTCATTGAATTGTAAAAATAGATGGAACTTGTTCGAACCTGTTGCAGATAAACAGAGTACCACGACTGGGACATACCATACCTTATCACTTGATATTTTCTCTGATTAAAACATGTTTATGCACTT